GAACGGCGCGGGGGGGGCAGTGCCAAACACTGCCTGATGCGGCAAGCGGGGTGCCGCAGCTGATGTCGCCACATGCAGCCCTGACGGGCGAGCCTGGAGCTGGTGCGGGGCCCAGGCTTGCAGCGGGGCTGGGTTACAAAATGGTGCTGAGCATTGGAGAGGGGAAAAGCAGCCCCTCACCCACCCCATGCCCTGCACTGCAGCCACTCGCAGCCCGTGTGGGGCTGCCTGTGCCTGCTCAGGACAGCCCCGCGTGGGCTGCAAGCGGCTGCAGTGCGGGCACTGGCCTCAGGGCAGGGGAGGGGCTGTGCCACTTTCCTCTGTGCCGGGAAGGAGCCTGGGGAAAAGCTGAGCGTGGGGAGGGGGCGGCCCCTCCCCCGCCCCGTGCAGGTGTTCGCAGCTCGCAGCCCGTGCGCAGCTGTGCAGGGCAGGTGCAGGCAGCCCCAGGGGGGCTGTGTGTGAGCAGCTGCACACGTGGCGCCAGGCACAGGGTGGGCGAAGAGCCACTTTTCCTCCCCCCCGCTCAGCTTTCCCCTGGGCCACTTTTCCCCGGGCTCCACCCCTGCCCTTCCGCCCCCCTTTCCCCTTACCTGCGGTGCTGGCGCGGGGCAGCCAGGCGGTCTCAGCCTGGGGCTTCTGGCTGGGGAGGGTAGGGCCAGGCAGGCCCTACTGCTGGGGGAGCCCGCTGGGCTTCCCCTGGGTCCTACTGCCCTTGGTTCCTGTCATTTTTGACAGGAACCAAGGGCAGATAAATATTAATTTTCTAAATGTTTTGGGGGCCCCATGGGCCGGACAGAAGGCCTTGTGGGCCAGATCCGGCCTGCGGACCATATTTTGCCCACCCATGGTCTAAATCTTTAGTAATGATATTAAACAATGCCAGACCCAGGAGAGATCCCTAAGGAGCCCCACATGATACCTCTTTCCAACCAGACATTGAACCATTGAGGAATCATAGCAAATGAGGGCTGGAAGGGAGCTCAGGAGGTCACATCTAGTCCAACCCCCTGCTCAAAGCAGGATCAGCCCCAACTACATCATCCCAGCCAGGGCTTTGTCTACCCAGGTCTTGAAAACCTCCAAGCACAGAGACGCCACCACCTTTCAGGGTAACCTGTTCCAGTGGTTCACCACCATCCTCATGAGAAAGTTCTTCTTAATATCTAACCTCAGCTTCCCTTACTGCAACTTGAGCCCATTGCTCCTTGTCCTGTCATCTGTCACTACTGAGTCCAGCTCCATCCTCTTTGCAGCCCCCCTGCAGGGAGGTGAAGGCTGCTATCAAATCCCCGCTCAGTCTTCTCTTCTGCAGACTCAATCAGCCCAGTTCCCTCAGCCTCTCCTCAGAAGTCACGAGCCCCAACCCCATAACCATGTTTGTTGCCCTCCGCTGGGACTATCCGTTGAGTGTGATGATCCAGCCAATTATGCATCCACCCCACAGTACTTTCATCCAGTGTGAATTTCCTCAGCTTATTAATGAGAATGTCATTGGAGACAGTGTCAAAAGCCTTGCTGAAGTCAAGGTATAGCACATCCACTGCTCTCCCCCCATTCCACAGAGCCTGTTACTTTATCAT